CATTTCCTCTTCCTGTAATGTTTTGCCAAGGATGTTTTGAAGAGCTGGTTTTCTAGCTGCAAATTCTTTTAACTTTTGTTTATCGTGGAAGATTTTTATTTCATCTTCAATAATGAAGCTTAATTTCACTGGATACATGATTCTTGGTTGGAACCCTTTTTCTTTCAGCATTTGAAATATGTTGTTCCAGGATCTTCTAGTTGTCAGAGTCTGTGTTGAAAGATCAGCAGTTATCCTGATTGGTTTACCCCTAAATGTGATCTGCTTCCTCTCTCTTGTGACTTTTAAGATTCTCTCCTTATTCTGTATGTTGGACATCTTCATTATTATGTGTCTTGGTGTGGATCTCTTATGATTTTGTACATTCGGTGTCCTGTAGGCTTCTAGTATTTGGATTTCTTTTTCATTCTTTAAGTCTTGGAAGTTTTCTACTATTATTGCATTGAATAGACTGCTCATTCCCTTGGTTTGAACCTCTATACCCTCTTGTAGCCCAATAACTCTTAAGTTTGGTTTCTTTATGTTATCCCATAATTCTTGGATGTTCTGCTCATGATTTCTTAACATTCTCGCTGAGCTGTCTATGTTTTTTTCAAGTTGAAAAACTTTGTCTTCGTTGTCTGAAGTTCTGTCTTATAAGTGTTCTACTCTGCTGGTAATACTCTCATTTGAGTTTTTAATTTGGTTTATTGTTTCCTACATTTCCAGGATTTCTGTTTGTTTGTTTTTTATATCCTCTATCTTCCTGTAGAGTTGATCTTTTGCTTCTTGGATTTGTTTATGTAGTTCATTGTCAAAGTGATCTTTTCATTGTCTGAATTTGCTGTATAATGTCTTCCTTGAGACTTCAGATCATCTGAAGCATGTATATCCTGAACTCTTTRTCTGACATTCCATCAGCTGCAGATATTACCTCATCTAATGTTGAATTGGCCTGTATTGTTTGTGGTCCTTTCTTTCCTTGTCTTTTCATACTGCTCATGATTCTTTCTAGCTTTGTGAAACTGTTGTGTTAATGGTTTTCCCCTTATATATTTATATTGTTCTGTATAGCTCCAAAATCCCTCCTTTGCGGAGAAAGACAATGTTAACAGTTCCCAATATCAACAGTACATCATCTAAGCACAAGTTTTCATTATTAATACATTTATAGTTAGATTCTAAGTCTACAGATATTGGTTTTAATTATTACTTAAGAATATATTCATTAGTTTCATAAAAGGCATACCATATCTGGTGGCATATAGAAAACTTAATTTCAGACGAAGGATGTTATACTTAGAGGGAAAGGAGTGAGGGTATGAGGTTAAACTAACTTAGCACCTTTGGAGAACTCTAACCAATAGACTGGTAATTTATGGAAGAATGTATAGTCTCACCTCCTATCTGTATTTAGATAGTTACCCTATGTATAGATAGCAAAAGTTAGGAGGTTGAAAGTGGGATAGAGGGAATATGAATGAAGAAAAGAAAAAAATAACAAGGAAGAAAAGAGAAATAAGAGAAGGAAAAGGAAAGTAAGATAGAAATAAAGAAAAAATGGGGGGAGGGTGGGGTATATGCAATTCCTCTATATAATATTACTTTGGTAATTCAGTTGTTCATGCACAGTTCTTGGTTTCACATATGATGAAGTTGTGAAAGAGAGAGAAGAAAAGAGAAAGAGAAAAAAAGAGAGTCTCTCAGAACACTGTTTTCCTTGCTTCCAGTAGGTGGCGTTGTCTATTCCTAGCTTGAGCCTCTGTATTCAGGGTGGTGGGTAGAGCCAGTGTGAAAGGAAATGAGCTTCCACCTGTATGTTCCCTACTCTAGTCTCTGAGGTGGAAACCAGGTGCCTGTACAGTTGTTGTTTTGCGTTGATAGCTACAACTCCCAAAAGCTTATGGGAAATATTTTGAGTTATCGCAGCTAAGGGTGGGGGAGTTGGAAACCGGGTACCTGGATCAGCCGCAGAACCGTGCTGGTAGCCACACCCCCTTTGATGGGTTTTAAGGGTTGATGGGCTTCCTCCAGACTAGCACACCGGTTGGGGCCGGGCTCCCTCCTCTGATCYGGGCTTTGGCGCCAGGCCTAATATAATTTTTTAATTTTTTTAATTCCAGGCACAAGCTCATTGCCCAACATGTATTACAGGCATTTTCACCTACAGTGACATCTTTATTCTCTTAAAAAATATCTTTGGCCAGTTATGGTGGTCTATGCCTATAATCCCAGCAGTTTGGGGGGTTGCGGCAGGAAGATCACAAGTTCAAAGCCAGCCTTAGCAATTTAGTGAAGCCGTAAGCAACTTGGTGAGGCCCTGTCTCAACAAGAAAGAAAGAAAGAAAGAAAGAAAGAAAGAAAGGAGAGTGTGGGGAGAGTCTCTGGCTGGCCAGCTGAATCAAGATTCTTCAATTTGGACAAAACTGGGACTTTGTGTGTTTTCTGAGCAACATGCCCCACAACAAATAAAAACCTCATTGATTTGTGCAATTAATACAGGTAACTTTTTGTGTGTAAATTATTCCTTATTAAATTTATTTTTATTAAATATCTATGGCTGGGTAGGAATTATCTTAGGATAATTAAGCAGAACAAAATGAAAGCATATCATAATTAACTCAAAACAATGTATGAAAATTAAAGGAGGGATATACTGGTGGGTTAGTTAAAATTTAAAACAAACAAACAACCAAAAACTTCTCAACTTTATTTTACTCCACACTTTTAAAAGCTGCCCTCCCTAACTGTTTTGGTTAGATTCTGTGGCTGCTGTGACCAGAAGATCTGATTAGCACAATGTGAGAGGAGGAAGAGGCTGTCAGGGTTCAGGGGGCTCAGTCCACAGACAGCTGGCTCCACTCCCCAGGGTCCAGTGAGGCTGCCCATCAGGGCGAGGGAAGCCGCTCCCTGGATGAGGAGGAAGCAGAGGAGACAGGACTCCACTTGCCAGATACAAAATGTCCATCCCGAAGCCACAGCCCCAGGCCCACGTCCCCCAGCCCCACCCTACCCACCCGCAGCGGGATTAACCCACTGATGGGGGTAAGGCCCTCACAACCAGGTCATTTGCTCTCTGGACCTTCTTGCAGAGTCTAGACGTGAGCTCTGGGGGCCACCTCACAGCCCAACACCTCACAATCTACACAAGGCCCCCTTTGCGCCTCCCTGTTCCCTCAGTCCCGCTTCCTACTGCCCACTGACCCATCGCCACCAGGTCGGATACGCTCGCTCACTCGGGGACGTACAGGGTCACACGCGGAGTCTTAGCAGACACTTTGACTTCTAGAGACTGTGCTGCTCCGACACAAAACCCATAAGGTCGACACCTACAGGTAAGAGTCCGCGCAGGGAAGTGGGGAGAGGAGGGTGCCAGGCCCCGCAGCCCGCTCTCTGCCCAGCTCTGCCCGGCGGGTCCTGCGCGGCCACCCGCAGTGCTCCTCTCCCGGGACACTGAAACTCCTATGGCCACTGCCTGACCGGGAGTGCTTCTGAGGAGGGGTGAATCCTCCCTCCAGGAAGGTGGGGGACAAGTCCACCGTGAGGAAGAGAGGATTAACTATCCACAAAAACCAACCACTCGGCGCAGGGTCCGGCACGGCTGCCAGGACACTGCGCCCTGGCACGAGGGGCCTGGGGCCAAGGCACTTCCACAGCTGCCTGCGCACGGGGACTGCGGCCCTTTCTGTTTCCTAAAAAACAGGAGATGAAATTCCCGTGTGAAGGCTGCCCTCCCCTACACCAGAAAAGACCTGTGCTGGTCATGGAGGACAGGAAGCAGTCTGAGAGAATTCTGTACCAACAGACTTGGCCAAAATATTCTTTCCGCGTCTCCATTTCGTTTAGTTGCTTTCCCTCAATTTCCTCTCTTTGTTCAAACTGGTATTTGAACATTTGGCTTTCACCACTTCTTTGGGTCTTCATTTCCCCATGAAGGCCCCCCGTGGTCACATATTTAATAAACCATCTGCTGGGGAAGGGGTTTCGGAAATGCCACCCTGAAGTAGCCACCTTGGTATGCTGTGGCTTCAGACCCAGGGCACTTGGGGAACAGCAGACACAACATACCATCTAAAGACAGACACTCCAGAAGGACTCCAGGTCATTCTGCCTTCCCCTTGCCCAGCAGAGGAGAGGAGTTCATATTGCAGGAGTGGGGCCGAGGTCCCCACCACACCCACACCAGCTGCCCTATGTCAGCCCTGCTTCTCAGGAGGCCCACTCGTCTTCCCCAAGTCCTCTGCTCTCCCGAGGCTGCTGCCAGAACCCCTCCCCTTCCTCGGTGAAGAGGGATTTACACCTCTAGCTCTCAACTGGATTTGGGGATGTCTACTTTCCTCTCTTGCCCTTCTCCCCTGCACATAGTACATTTGCATGAATGTTCTCCATTTGATCTACCTGCTGTGGGTTTATTTCATAAACTTGGTTTTGGAACCCTCAGAGTGGACAGGGAAGAGTCTTCCCCAATTCCACAGGTAATTCCTCCTGTTGATCTGTTTTTACGCCAAACTGATTCTCAGGGCCAAAGACCCTAAAAGAATAAGGTTTTGCCTCCCTTACAAGAGCAGGCAATTAATGCTACACAGTAAGTATGTATAAATGTGAGGCAGAGTTGATATTGTCAAAATGGCCATACTACCAAAACTGCTCTACAGATTAAATGCAAATCCTATTAAAACCCCAATGACATTCTTCATGGATTAGAAAAAGCAATGATGAAATTCATTTGGAAAAATAAGAGACCCAGAATACCCAAAGCCATCCTTAGCAAGAAAAGTGAAGCAGGAGGCATCACAATTCCAGACTATAATCAGATACAGCACTGGTCTCCAGGATATACAAAGAACTCAAAAAACTTAATACCAAAACAAAAAAAACAAACAACAACAACCCAATCATAAATGGGCTAAAGAGAGAAACAGATAGTTCTTAGAAGAAGATATACATGTGATCAACAAATACATGAAAAAATGTTCAACATCTCTAGTAATTAGAGAAATGCAAATCAAAACTACTCTGATTTAATCTTACCCCAGTCAGAATGGCAGTTATTGAGAATACAAGGACACTGCGCCCTGGCACGAGGGGCCCTGGAGCCAAGGCACTTCCACAGCTGCCACAGTGTTGGAGAGGATGTGGGAGAAAAGGCCCACTCATACATGGCTGGTGGAACTGCAAATTGGTGTAACCACTTTGGAAAGCAGAATGGAGATTCCTCAGCAAACTTGGAATGGAACCACCATTTGACCCAGCTATCCCACTCCTCAGATTATACACAAATGACTTAAAATCAGTCATAAAATAGTGACATAGCTACCAATATTTATAGCAGCTGAATTCACAATAGCTAAACTGTGGAACCAACCTAGATGCCCACAAGAGATGAATGGATAAAGAAACTGGTATATCTACACAATGGAATATTAATCAGCATTAAAACAGAATGAAATTGTGGCATTTGCAGGTAAATGAATGGAGTTGGAGAATATTATGCTAAGCAAAGTAAGCCAATCCCAGAAAACTAAAGACCAAATGTTTTCTCTGATTAGTGATGCTGATCTACGATGGTGGGGGCGAGGCATGGAAAGAATAGAGGATCTTTGGATTAGGCAAAGGGGAGGGTGGGAAGGGGTCATGGGTGTAGGGAAGACGGTGGAATAAGATAGACATAATTTAGGTACATGTATTATTGCATGAATGGTGCATCTCTACACTGTGTACAATCAGAGAATTGACATGTTGCACTTCATTGTGTACAGTAAATTGAAATGCATTCTGCTGTCACGTACAACTAAGTAGAACAAAAAAAAATAAATACAAAAAATGTGTTATGTGTATAAGCACACACATTTACATAGAAATATCTTCTTGGAGAATGAAAGCTGCCAAAAGTCCAGGTGGTTTAATATTAGAATATCAATTACCCAGGTTAACTATTAATTATACACCGTGTTAACAATTACAAAAACCTGAGTGAAATCTAACACTCAGGAAACATGAAAAGTTAAAATTAAGTGAGCTAAGCATTCAATTTAGGAAGATGAAAAAATTTAAAAAGATGGAAAGAAGTGACAAGGGTTAAAGGTCAAAATTAGGGGTAAAACTGACAAGAGAAATGGAGGCTGGCAGTAATAGAAGGTGTAGGCCTCTGCAAAGACCACCAAGGGAAAAGAGGGCAAGGGGGTGAGGTTCTTTTAAATGGGGGGAAACCTGTGTTTGTTGTCCATCAGAACAAAATTCTAGTTGAATTCCAATTCCAGCTGGCTTGCTTTTGTGTGAAGGTATTTAAAATAGCAAAACCAACACATGATTAAAACTCAGACTACAGCCACACCTGAAAAATAAAACAAAAATGGAATTGTCTTCCGTGGATAAAGGATATTACTTGGTTKCGAGCGGATGAGGCAGCTGAAATGCTAACAGATGTGCAAAGAGATCTACAATTCCTAGCACCAGAAAAAAAGACGATTAAATAAAACAGCAACAAGATCACACTCTACTCCTGCTTGACTGGCTCATAATAAAAGGCCACCATGCCTTTTAGGGCCACAGGGCACCCTGAGTGGGAGGATATAAATACCAGCTCAGAACACTCACATGCTCCTAGGAGATACCCGGCAGCGCCCAGGAACTGGTGGGATTTGGATCCTTCATTAGGAGGACCAAAGTTCTAATCGGGGGAAGAGGGACCAGCCACAGGGGAGCACTCTGTGGTCACCAGAAATAAGGTGTGTGGAATACAACAAGGGTCTTGAGAACATATCTGCCTGGAAATGTCAGGACAAGCTCAAGGCTTAGCATGTTCTCTTGGCCACGTGCTCCATAATGTCCTGATCAAGACCTTGTTCTGAAGCACAGTCTCTGTCACCCATATTACTGGTGGAGAAAGCACTCGTTTAGGGGAGAACCAGAGAACAAGTACCCCTGCTTCACTTCAGGCTGGAGATGCAGGAGGGCTCAGGGGCGGGCCAAGCCTGGGAGAGGCAGGGATGAGGATCAGTTATCCCAGAATGCGGGGCACAGCGGCTGCTTGTGAGGGCAGAGAGCGTGTGGAACGATCCCAGGAGCTGCGTACCCTAATACCCGATGCCTTCTCTCTGGGAGGGGACCAGAGGGCTAGCCACCCTCTGAATCTCTGTCCCTCCTCAAATTTACATGTAAGGATTTTAAGCAGCAAGCTTTTCCAGGTGGGCTGCAATAGTGTCCGTGAATGCATCCCATTCTGTCACTTGGCGTCCCCTTTGTCTGGTGGATTTGCAGCTCCTCCCATGTAGAGCAGCATCTATCTATTCCTCCACTCCTGAAATCTATGCTTGATCGACCAACTTAGCAAATGTGACCCAAAGAGACTGGTATGTTGTGATTTTTGCTTTTCCTGCTTGCCATAACCCTGAGATGACGATGTGAATAAAGGCTAGCTCACCGTCTTAGGCAAAAGGACCCCCAATCAAAAGCTTCCTAATTGCGAGACGGGTGAGGGAGGCCATCCCGACCACCCAGCACAGCAGATTCAAAACACACAAAAAGGAACAGCAGAGGTCAGCCTCCTCAGCCCTGTCTCCAAGGAGCCCCGCCAACCTACAGAGTCATTCAGGTAACAAGGCGGTAACAGCGTTAAGCAATTAAGCTTTGGTTTGATGTCCATTAAAACTTGACTGCACCATCAGTGAGTGGCCAGGAATTAGTCTTCTGCAACAGTGACAGCTGTCTATCAGAAGAAGCAACAATTCCTTGTGAAACAAAATCCGAGAGCAGCCTGCTCCTTGTCCCTCCACACCCTTTTCCCATTTTTCTACGTCTCCATTTTCAACCTGAGAAAATAACCTACTAAGAGGCCCAAGGGTGACTGATCACTGCCAGACTGAAGACCTGAGTCCGAGTCTTCCGATGGGCTCCAGGGCTGTTTCCACCTCCAGATTGCAATATTCTCTATTCCCATCTGCTCGGAAATGAGCCTGTTGTTCAGTTTCCACATCCTCAAAGCCCCCTGAGGTTCCCAGCTCCTGGAAGGGTTGTCTGGTGACAGAGCTCTGGAAGCAGAAGGGAGGGTGAAGGAAGGAGGGAAGGAAAGAATGGGGACAAGAATATATCAACAGTCTTTTTTGCAATCTAATTTTATTTTATTTTATTTTGTAGTTGTAGATGGACAGATGCCTTTATTTGTTATGTTGTGCTGAGGCTTGAACCTGGTGCCTCCCACGTGCTAGTAGGCAAGCCCTCTGCCACTGAGCCACAACCCCGGCCCTTCAACAGTCTTTTAAGTGAGTCCTCGTGGTCTGTGACCCGGGAGTTCTCTTTCAAACCCACCCAGAGGAGAAAGCAAGGGAGGTGGAGACCTAGAAACATCCAAGGGTTGATCTGAGCATCAGTTATGATTCCAAGGAACGACCTGAATGCATCTCTGAGTAATGAGACCACAGCAGAGATTTACACCTGTTACAGGGCTGGGAACTTTCAAGAAACGGAGGCACCACCGCGAAGACAGTCCCCCAACCCCGTCAAACCCCAGTTCTTGCCATCAGGTCAGAAAGTTTTCAGACATGTCATTCAGAATAACAGAGATGAGTTTCTTGAAGGGATAGGAAAAGGGAAAAGGGATACTACCAAGGGACACGGCGGGTGCTTTCAGAGAGGGACAGTGTGCCCCTCTCCCACTCCAGTTTTATTGGGGAAATCCCAGAGAAGTTTCCAGAGGGTGCTGCCCAGGCCCACGTCTTGACTTCTGACCGACAGCAAGAGGACATCAGACTTTCAGGCACCTATTGCCATGAGAATTCCTGGTCCCCTTGGTCCATGCTGAGCGGTTCTAATTGGATTCCCCATCACTTTTACAGGTT